AATGGAGCATAATTCACAGTAAATAGATATCTGCATCCTCTCTGTATGTAAGGAACACTGTGCAAGGTTCAGAATTTATTATAACCTTCTGTATTGATATGCATTTCAGAGCCCATCAAGAAAAAAAAATGCAGAGATAGCTAGAATAGAGAAGATATTCAGCAAAGATGCTCAGCACACACATTTAGTAAAACCATGTTTTGTAGGTTTATAAAGATTTGCAGTGGGAATGTTTCCCTCTTTCTTTGTGGCTGACTTCTCTCCCACTTTTCAAGGTCCATGTATAATACAGTCCAAGGCCATCTTTCCACATGTGGCATGATGATACTGATGTGGCACAGTACTGTGCTGGATTGCACAGCTTTGTGCTGCAGAGCCTTGTGTACATCCGAAATGTTCTAGGATCCTGACGTGGGGAACTTTACATAAATAAAAAGTAGCTCTTCATCTGTCCAAAACCTGCTCAGGGCTATGGGACCAAATACACGATCTGTTTTTCTGCTATATCAGGCTATCATTTTGTCTTTCTAAGTGATGCTACAAGAGTGTATAAAAAATAGATGGTAAAATTAAGTGGAGCTGGACGTCTCCAGCAATGCAATAACTTTTTTGTGCTATTAGAAATGCTGTGGCCCTGTAAGCTACTCTGTAAATCTTTTACTGATAGGTATGGAAAGTAGAAAAGGGAGAGAAAGAGTAGATAAAAAGCTATATTTGGCAATGTGTCTGCTTCTACAAGTAGTTCATCAGATGCATGCTAACTAGGTCAACATGGGTAATAATCTGAATCAAACTGTTTATTTGTTTCTCTTGTAATACTGCCTAGGCAGAAGCCACAACTCTGCACCTACAGGTAATGTAGTAAGAGCAAAAAAGCTTAAAAACCAGATAACCTAATTACACTGATTAATGTAATTATGTGCTACTTACACATTTGTTACTTATGCACAGGTTTTCCCTCTATACATTTGTTACTTTTCCACAATTTTTCTCTCTATACAATTTATTGCTGCTTGTTTTCTTCTAGATTCATTGAATAATCAATTTCAACTTGTTGGGTACTTGGTAATGGTGCCTTGTGTCATAAATATGCTTGAAAATAATGTTCCTTACATCTTTTCACCTAGGTGATAAAGAGCTTCTTCTGTAGTAGCACATAATTTTCAGTAGAGAAATGGTATTATTTTCATCAGTATGTGGCATGTTTCTGCCACAATCATGGAAAGTAAGCCCTGAAATCAAAATGAGTAACTGAGGATTAAATTCCTGTATCTTTTTACTAATAAAGAGATAACAAAACATAAATAACAAGTAATTGATGTTAAATATATCTCTGGTGAATAACACACAAGATATAGGGCAGCATCTGTGAGATTTTTTGTATACTGTGTGCTAGTTATATATATTTTTAAAATGTTTAGGTAACCTGGGTAGGCAATTGCATAGTTACTGTGTGTATGTTTAATGTTAATGATTTGTATACTGCAAGGTATCTGTGCTAGAATGGGTTCATCTGAGTGATGAAGACCATAATCATGGTCTTCATCTCAAGTCAGCACATTATGTGGTCTAGGCAGCAAATGGTTAAAAACAGTTGAAGTAAAAAGGGCCTATAAGTTGTCTTTTTTGAAGTCTTTCATTACAGAAGTGCTCGAGGGTAAGTTGCCAGCAGGAAATTGCTGCATCAGATCTGAAAGCAATAATATAAATGTTGCTGTTAGGTAATGATGATACTACATACTGTAATATTTATATGACTTTGCACTAGCTTATGTGCTGAAAATTAGAACCATGCGAAGTAGTTGCAATGTACATTTCCTTTTTTTAAATAATGTGACTCTTAACAATCTTTTCTTTTTCTCCCCTGTATGTTATAGGGAGAAAATTGAATTTTAGTCATGAGAAAAAAAGACATATTTCATTATGCAATCATTACACTCCCTAGGAACGGGTTTATAGCAGGCTCAAATACACAGGGAGACAAAGTATAATGACCTAACATCAGAGAGTATCAGTGTGTAGAGCCTCGTGGGACATGCACGGGAAAGAACATGTGTACAGTCATAGAAGTCAATCTGTATTGTTTTAGCATTGATGTGATGAAAGCTCGTGGTAAATTTGCATGAGGTGACTTGCACAGCCATTACTTGTGGAATGTTTTGAAAAAAATGCAGGACTTCAGCAAGGTGCCTCGTTGGGGAGGGTAGGGTGGTATTTTTTAATTCTTTCAGGGTATAGTATCCGTCAGTTATTTATGGAGTTAGAGAAGCATGGTGCTGAAGCTGCTAAATCTGAAGCTGCTGAAGCACAATCATATTCATGGCTCTTTGTTCCTGTCATTCAGAACTGGTGAGTGGGAGGCTATTAGCTTCTGCATGAAGATCCACAGAATATATAAAAATGTGAATGGAATCACTGAACTGTTAGTGACAATAGTTACAGTGTTTAAAGAGAAATATGGTCTTGTTGTAATTGTTTCTTAGATTGTAAGGATTTTTCAGAATTGGAACTATTCACTGAATATTCCATGAATACTTTATTGAAGTAAGAGAGAGTGAACATTGTGGTCAGATAGGAACCTTGTCTGAGTGATGTGGTCTACAGGTAGTATTCAAATGCATGAACTCTGGCTTTTGTACAGCTTTTCTACTAACTATGTAAAGTGTGCGTGCAAGTGTGAGTTCTTTACTTACTATAAAATTTTTGAAGGAGATATTCCTAATGGTTTGGTCAAACTACTTTTTTAAAGGAGAGATGGATGAAAGATGTGCATAATGCAATTATTCTAAGCATTTAAGAAGGTCTCTAGCTGAGTCCTGAGGATGTTTCCACTTTGTCACAGGTGACAGTCACTGCTCACTGCCAGCTTGCGAAATGTGGCTATAACATTGATACAGGCTGGATAAGCACTAGTACAGAAAGAATATTCTCAAACAGGAAAGGAAAGGGAAAATGAGGGGAATAGAAAATCCATTCTTGTATAGCAGAGTATATAAGGATCTAATGCAAGTAATTTTCACATTATGCCTCTTAGTTTTGTGCCTTATGCTGGGTGTGGAGGGGACTTAAATGTTGTATGTTTATCATTCTAATATGATTGCAGAGACAGAAACGGTATACCTTAGTTCTGTGTGAAAACCAAGAAGCTGTTTCAGTCATGATCGAGATTTGATCAGTTTCCACTCATTTTCTCCCACTTCATGTTTAATGTATAAATCCCAAAAATAAAGTGGTTTTGAAATGACCTGTCTGGTTTGTAGTCTCAAAACTCCTTGTACGTATCACTGATGCAAAGCTCTCAGTACTCTTAGGAATACACTGACATGTATATCACGGTAGTTTTTAGGGAGCCCCCAGTAAACAGCTCAGACCTCATATAATTGATCCTGGTTTGGTTAGAACTGAGCACAGACACTTTCAAAAGATTAGTAATGCATTTTCTAATAATTCTGATTTGATAATTTTTTGATAGAAAAATCCAGATGTGCTTTGGTTCCCAGATCATCCCCAAACCCTTAAAGTACTTTCCCACTTTCTCCTCACACCTCTCAGAAGAAGCATCTCTTTCCTGCCTCTGTTTTCCTTTCTTTCTTTTTTATGACACAATCTTGTTATTTACAGGCTTTTTTTTTTCCAGAAGCATAATTTTTTTAAACCTTTATCCTCATTCCTGTCTGAACGTTGCTTTTGAATGGGACTGTTCCCTTTTCTCTGTCTCTGGGATACCATGTTGCTTTGCTCAGCTCAGTATGACTTTTTCCACCAACTTTAAGGGAAAGGCATTAACCTGCCAACCCCAGGAAAGGTGGTTGGAAGTGTCTTGGTGGCTCTGGAGCAATAGTCCCTGGTACAGCACAAACATGATGCTTCCATGTGTCCATTCATTCTCTGCTACCATACAAGAAAGGAAGCCAAATTCCCCACTGCCATGTAAATAGGATATTAGACACTGCAGAGAGGTTTTGAAATGTTAATACCCCTCTAATGCAGACAGCTGACGAAGAGTAACAGTTTTGTTTAGGTTGTGACTCAGGCTGTTGCAACAGGTCCTGGCAGAATTAAAACAGCTGGGAGCATCCTGCAGGTTGCTGGATAGTATATGTGTCACATTTTGCATGATTTTGGGGTTATCTCAACTGGTGTTTTAGACGGGATAAAACTACCTGGGGAGTGACTTTGAGAGACAGCAGCCATTCTGGAGAGTGGCAGCGGAGCCCTGTGCTCAGCTCACGGATGCCACCTGCCAGCTTGTCTGTCAGCCCACAGCAGCCAAGTGACCGACAGCAGGCTCTCAGCTGACATAGCCTTGGTTGCAAAGGCACAGGAGCATAAGTGCTGCCCCTCCCTGGCCTCCAGCAGAGGTGGATGGGCTCCTGCCACTTCTCGCTACTGCAGGATACTGGAGGTGGTGGTTTTCCACCCCAGACCAGAGGGACACGTGGTCCTCTGGTGAAGGGATCCTTTGCTCTCTGGTGAAGGGATGCTTGGTACTCAAGAGAAGGGAGACTTGGTCTCCAGGCAAGTAGACAGGAGGGGGACAGGAGTGACCAGGATTTGGTCAGGCCCACTGAGAGGAGCTAGGTGGCAACAGGCTAGGGTTAAGGAAGGGGCATCTCTCTCAGCAGCATCTCTCTCAGCTGGGAGGAGAGACCCCGGCCATGGATGTTCTTCTGCCTTCTCTTCCACCATTTTTCTCAGGAAAAAGATTTTTTTCCCTACCCTTTTGTTCTTTGATGACTCCTTCACTGACTCCTACATGCCAGCCTTTCATTTTAATGATAGCATAGCAGTGAAACTGAGTCACACCAAGACCTGAAGGTTTCCAGCTTTAATCTATAATGAAATGTAAAGAAAACCTGTCAAGGTATGACATGGTCTCTGTATCCCTGAGAGACAGACTTGGGCACTGTGCTCTGAGAATCTAAGTGCTCAGACCAACTGTGCTTTCAAAAGCAATGAATCGTTTTGATTAATTTTTTTCTCTCTTCAATTTCCCATAGAAATTGGGAAGATTGACCAAGATATATATAAATACAACACCCCAGGATTCACGGGCTGTCTATCAAGAGTACAGTTCAACCAGATTGCTCCACTCAAAGCAGCTCTGAGACCTACCAACGCCTCCTCTCACGTTCACATCAAAGGAGAACTGGTGGAATCCAACTGCGGGGCATCTCCCCTCACCATCCCACCAATGTCAGCTGCTACTGACCCATGGCACTTAGACTCAGGTAAGCTGGGATTCACATCACATTAACTAAGTGGAGAGTTCAGAGAAGAAATCCATCTGCCTTCCTCTGTAAAGAGAAAAAACAGAGAGCAAGTGATTGATAGATTACTGTAGGGCTATAATCACAGTAGGAAATGCAAAGATGGAATGACAGAGATTTACCACCACTTCTAAATGCAGTTACAGTATTTTCATTGCCACTTTTTTTAATATTATGCTTTATTTTTCTTTTCTGTAAATCTTAGACTATTTGAATGTTGAGTTTTGACCTAGCTGCTGTGATAGCACTTTCTGTCTAGAATTGGGTGTGTAGTCAGCAGAAGTTTGCAAGTACATATAACTAAGGTACAGTAGCATTTCTTATGTGTATTCCTAATAAGTGAGTATATTGCAGTCAGCTTCATACCAAAACAGTAAATCTAATTTTAGGCATAAATACATTTATGTAAAGTGCTGATTTGTTTTCTGAAATGTCTGTTTTCCTTAGGCCATATTTAATGGGAAATTCCATTAGTCATGGTGGCATTCATCTTGCGCTGAAAATGCTGGAAAGACAAAACAGTTTGCTGATCCCAGCAACCTCATTCTGCTTTGTGACTGACAGCTCTTGAAAATATACATTGTGCCTAGCTTTAGAGAGCTTTTTTTTTCTTTTGATTCTTGAGTGTCAGGTTCCCTTTAGATTTATAGGGTCAGATGTACATTGATGACTCTTGTATTTTGTCCTCATTCTGATTTCACTTGTAAAGTGTAAATTAGAACCTATTTGGGCAAAGCTGGTGGGTTTGCAGTGGTATAAAATTAAAATTCTAGAGGAAAAACTTGGTCCATCATGATTTTGATACCAATTAGTCTTTGCCTATTGTGTTTGGGGATGCATCCATATGCCAGTTTTTATAGGAGAGTGGGCAGGTATATATGTCTTTCTCAGAAGTGTGTATCAAGGCCATACCTTTGGGGTTTGTTTTTTTGTGATTTTTCTGGAGATTTTGGTTGGGGTCTTTTTCTTGTAATGTTGAGGAACTCCTTGCAGCACCTTCTTTCAGCTCTTCTTCAGTACAGAAATTGGGCAGGGGTTTGTAAGAAGAAACAGACGTTCCAAAGCTGAGGGTCCCAAACATTAACACAAGCAGTATCATGCTCTAAAACCTGTCATTCCCACCTTGCTGTCATGCCATACCATTGTAAGATTTCAGTGTGCCTCTTCCCCATTTATAACATGCTATTTTCTACTTTTATTTTTTTCATCACAAATTAGTAGTCCCTTTTTTTCTGAAATTATTAGATCAATTTTTACCCAAAGGGTATGTGCTGTGCTGCTCTTTCTATAAAAGCATATTTCTGAAGGATTCCTCACTGGATCATGTCTTTAAAAAGTATGCCATAAACTTCTTGAGGACGTACTGCTGCTGTGAATCTTGTGCGTGTAATGACTTTGGTTGTTAATTTTTGTTCGTTGCTTTTCCTTACACTTCTTTTGACTGCAAGCTAGTAAAAGACAATGGTGGGGTTTATTCCCAATATTTATGCTTTTCCTAATAGTTCCTGCAGTTCAGAGAAAAAGTTCTTGTTTGTCCTTGTCACATGCTATTATGCTTGACCTTGTGTTGGCTCAGTTTTGTCTTGTAAACTTTGTTGACCTGACAGATTACGATTTATACTTTTTCTTCTGGATTAATTGTAGTACTCAATCACAGAGACAGCATGAAGGATATCAGGGGACATATAACATGCTCAATCTGGTCTGTTAACTTCTGCCAGTAAAAAATAAGTCTCATTGCCACAACCAGACTTAACTGTTTCAAGTCGGGGACAGACAGAGTGCAAGTGACCCAACTTCATTTTTTGTGATGATTAGCTTTAGTAAGACTGTGACCTAGGACCCTTCCTTTTTTCCTCTCCAGTGATCCACAGCAGTAGAGACAAAAGATTATATTGCTTCAAAGACTTCTAGTGAGGAACACTAGAAGAAAGCAACAATATCAGGTGAGGTATGGTAGGCAGAAATTTCACAGCAAGGGAGTGATGTTTCACTGGTTCAGGAGTGAGAGGATATTCAGGTGTTGGTGAGCCATACCTGGCTTTCACTCTGGGTGACATTTCCATGATACAAAGAGGAGGTATCACAGCAAGTCATTTATCAGTATCAGTAAGAACAACTCAGTCTTTGTAAAAGTATCTGTGGTGGTCTGACATAGCTAGTTCTGTTTTAGTCACAGGAAGAATATATACTGTAGACTGTGTAACTTGAGTCATCAAAGTCATAACATGTAAGTCATCAAAATGGTCTTGATGAAATGAAAACTTTTGGGCTTAGTGTCACTTTGCATTAGTAAATTGGCAGTTTTCAGTGAGGATTTTTTTTACATTTCTGAAACTCTGATGAAGACTTTCTAACACAAATCATGTCAAGAAAGAAAATGGAAGAATCCAAGTAATAGTGGTTCCCACTGGTACCAGAACTGGAATAGTCTCAGTACTCTCAGTGTGAATTTACTCCTTCACTAAACTGGCTGAAGGAACAAAGACAAAAAGCTCTTTTGAAATTCACAAAAACACTTGTAGTGATGCTAAAGCAAAAACCACTCACACTTTGCCACAAAACAATGGTTGCAAAGAACATGGCTTTGAAAGCAGCAGTTACTATGTGAAGGGTTTCTCATTTCAAACATGCTTTTATCTGTAATTTTTATTGTTATTTTATCTATTTAATTTTAAATAGTTCTTAACAAAACATGAGAGTTGAGGATCAGGGGTTTATAGTGAAAAGCAGAAATCGGGAAAATTTTTGTGGGAAGTATCATATGGTTTAAATCTCATTCAGTGACATACTCTGCACTCATCCTTATTCATATTTTGAGATAAGCATACATTTGTAGATTTGCTTCTCAAATACTGTGGAATTGAACTTTGAGGATTGAAAAATGTTGTAAGAGGAGATCAAAGATAAGTGTCTAAATAGAACAGATACACCAGACAGCAAATGTAATGATCCTTTCACCTCTAGACTGCAATGCTGAATCAGACCTTACAGATAATTAGTAGAAGTTAAGCAGGTTCTGCCTGACAAGTGACCTACATGAAATGTTTGCTTTAAGCTCTTTTATGTGGTTACTGCGTGGACAACTCCTACTAGCTGCAAAACATTTTGTATGCCCTATCAGAGAGGCTAAAGGGAAAATCGTAATGACACACACCAGTCACTTGGCAGTTTACCTTTAAAGGCTAGTTCAGGGATTTATCCATAAGAAACCTTGTTGATTTGCTCCCCAGACAAATGAGCTGTACAGCTTCTCGATTCACTGTCTTGCACTTCCTATTAGCCCTAAATTCCTATACATTTCACATTTACAATATTAGTTCTTTTTAAATTTCTTTTTTACTGTAGAAATCCCACTTCCCTCCCTCTCCACCTCTGACTGGCATTTTGCCATGCTACTGGGACATTATCTTAAACCATGATCTTGTTCAGCTTATGAGTACTCTCACAATGCATAGACTTTTCCTGTTGCTATGGTGATCCTTTCTTGGTGGTGATGAAGTGCGGGAATTCAACAAGTCATTCTTTTTTAGAATGTGATTGTCTGGTGATTTAAAAGAAAAATCAATAATCAAATCCAAGCAGATCATCAATATGGTTTTCCTTACATCAGTATTATCTCAGTTCATGTCAGACAATCCAATTTGCCTTGGTTACAACAAAAGGAGTATAGAAAAGAGGCTAAAAATAACCTGATCGTTGAACATATTATTTAAAAATGACGTGTCCTGCCTTTACATATTGTCCAAACCCACCAAATTATCTGTCTGACATACATTTCAAAAGTTATAATTCCATGCCATTAACTATATTAGTGTGCACTTTAGTATCTATTTCTATCACATATGTAAAAAAAAAGATAATAATCAAGAGTGTTTTAATATCTCTCAGTTCAAATTAGCTAAGATGTATGTCACTGATAACTGACACCTTGTTCATTGTAGAGAAGCAAAGAAAAGCCCAAACATGATTATTTTTGTCATAAAAAAATTCCACATCTAAAATGCCTTGTACTTAAAATCAGAACATGAATATTACCGGGGTGACATTCAGTTTGTGGGTGTTTTAATCTAAGACAAATATTCTGCAGTTTACTAGTGAAATTTCACTTCCAAATTTTTCTTATTTATAGAAAAAGGGTAAAAAAATCTACTAGATGTGTATACCTCTCCATTTTAGGTAAAACGTACTTCAACTTGTCAAACTACCCAACCTTGAATTTCATAAAAGCAGGAGATCCCAGAAGAGGCAAGGTACATACAATAGTTGGCAAACCATGCTTTAGCATCTCTAAGCTGTCATGGCACTATATATCTGCAAGATGAATTTACTCTGAGTATGAACAGAAAGGCATCTAGAGTATTAGAATGGCATCTAGGGTATTTAACATGGGATTTAGTTAAACCTATATTAGCTTCAACATATTACAAATTAAATGGAGCAGGATTAAATGCTACATTTGCAATGTTCTTCTGAGTGGTGTGACTTTTTTCTGACTGTGCATATTTAAACCCTAAATGCTCTTTATTTTTTATAGAAGGTGAAAACTCTTACCTTTTAAGAATCAACAGCTTACTTTGAAACCTATACTGAGCATGTCTGGCAAAAACATTGTAGGAAGACATATATTGCTTTTGTCAAGATGAGAGCAAGAGCGCTGAATACTGGCCATATGATCTGTACAGACCTAGTTGGCCAGCTAATTTCTTTGTGAAGTGAAAGACCACAGTCAACTTCTGGACTAAGAGGAAGTGTCACTCCTGTGTTACTGGGGACAGTGCTGAAGATCACCTTCCAGGTTCAGATGCTGTCAGCTGGATTGCCATCTCATCCTTTGGTACCCACTGGTACTCATATCTCAGAAGGCAGAGCAGCAGCATCTGAGGAGAAGGCTGTGTCAGATGTGTTCTGGTACGGATGCAGCTAGGAAGATGGGAAATAACTTTTGCCCTTGTCAAGGG